TAATTCTAGAGCAATGGAACTATTGGGATCATCGCGTTCCGGTTGTAATGAACCGAGTAACTCGGCCGAGTACTCTTCTCGACAAATGTTAAACCGAGTAATATTCGGTACTCGGTTACTTGGTAAAACTTTTACTCGGCGCATCTCTAAAAAATCTTCTGTAAAAGCCGGTAAAAATTAATATTTATTTTAAGTTGTCCGATTGATTTGAAATTTGGTATACTATGTTGTAATGTGTCGAAGCAACCTGACTTCTTTAAATTTAAATGTTGAATAGGCATAAGATTCCTTATATTGTAATTGATTTATTAATTCACATCTATTTGCACCATGAACGAGTAAACACACTATCTAAAAATGTTCCTGTTCCGTATACGTCGCTAACCAGATGACATCCCAACTACCTCACTGCACAACCAACCTAACATGAGAATGTAAATGTAATGACACTACAATGCAAGTTCGATCATGTATCCGAATTTAGGAGAAGGCTTCAGTGGCTCCCTATCAAGTTGCACCGTGAGGTGCACGTTCTCAGCTTTCTCTATAATGGTCATGACCCTTGTACTTCACCATACCTTAACGATTGTTTTCGGGGATGATCACAACCGTGAACTAGGGTCCAAAATGGATAACCTACTGAAGCCTCCTTTCACTCGCGCTGAGTATTACAAAGATTCCTTTACGAGATCTCCCATTTGAAATCCGCCGTTCCAAGTCGCTCCCTATTTTCAAAACTGAAATGGATTGCGTAAATATCTTCTAACACGGTCCTATTCTGCAACGTGTATATATTTATTAGTAACTATAAGTTTATTTAGGTATATTTATATATAAATATATTTATATATCTATAATAATATATCGTTATTTATTAAATATTTGGTAAATCACAGTGTTTTTATTTTATTTATTTATTTTGTATTTTTTTTATTTATACAATAAACTTTATTTTTTTTATTTGTAAAATTAAACACACTGCGTCTCCCGCTCCGATTAGCTTTCCTCTACCTCAAAGGTTGTTGTTGCTAGAGGTCGCTCTTAGCGACAAGACCGCCTTTGCCCACATTAATTTTAAGTTATTTATATACTATTCTTGTTCGTGTGTGTGGGCAATATAGTTGTTTATGTGACTGTTACATGCACGCTGTGACATTGCTGTATTCCGCGCGATAGCGTGTCTGTGTAAAGCCCGCTATTTCCTCGACAACTTCTAATAGAACTATCGAATTTGGGCTCATCTTGACCAGTTGTTGGCTTACGATGGCTTGATTTTTTAGAATAAAATAGAATAGAATAGAAATCGTTTATTACTACGCCACAACAAAAAAAAAACACAGCAAAAGAGATAAAAAAAAGATGAAACTAAATTAAAACAAAAAATTTAAATAAAATAACAAAAAAAGGACTATAAATAAAATCGTACACAACAACAAAGCAAACATTAAATATTCGACACAATTAGATTGAATGTCATGTGTGCGGCTGTGGCGTATGTAATAGGATTCCACTCAGCTATTGTCACCACGAAGAAAAGGCTGTGATGCTGATTTTCAGTGGCCTCTTTTTGGAGACACTGTTTTGTTTCGGGGGCTTTTTAAATTTCAATTTAAGTTTTTATTCTAAGGAAATTCAAATAGATGCAAGTTAGATTTCAGCTTGCATCTATTTTTCAAAATGCCGTTTAGAGCGCATATTGTTTTATTTCCATGTGTCAGTTTTACTTCAGCAGTGTACCCATACATGTATTTTATGTAAGGTTCTGTAGCGTGCTTGCCACTGGTGTGTTTTCCACTAAATTCGTCAGTACTTTGTCGTTTAAACGTCAAAGTTCTCAACAAAAATTGAGTTACAAAAGACTTTAAGTTATCAAAGAATATAAAACTCCAAAAAGCCCTCACAAAAAAGATATTTTTAACAGTTCTTTCCTAAATTTCATTATCGTGTAACAAAAATTACGGACTGGGTAATAAGGGAAGCGCTACAATTAGCGATGAAGAAACGTCTTTTTTATAGTCAGTCGGCATTCGCCTTCGCCGAAGGAAATTCAGAATGATTTTAAACCGAGCTAAGTCATTTTTTTATGGCAACAGGGAAATTGGAAGTGTCCGGATGAAACGAGCTAAGGGAAAAAATATTTGAACATTTATTATAAAACAAACGAGAAAAAGGTATCGTTGGTATATTAGTACCTTTAAAAGCATAGTTGGTGTAATAGACAGTATTAGCGGGACCAAATTAGAACCACAAATACAGTTGAAGACACAACACAAGGGCACCACAGGTTTTTTTTTTCACGGACAATTACACAAAAATTCTAGGTGGCTTCCGGCCAGCGCCGTCAAAAGCCCAGTGCTGTAATATTTTGCATATTTGCATTTTGCATTATATGGGTAATATAATGTACCAACTTAAAAATTAATGCAAAAGATTTGGACAAAGACAATATAGATTACTACTGGCAATGGGTTTCTTAATTGCTACAGCACAAAACATACTACATAACATTATTACATAACGTACTATAAGTTTTCGGAACTGGCCACCTACATAAACAATATTTAAAAAGTAATTACAACATTTGAAAATGGAACTCTTCGGCTGTAGAATACAGTTTGTTTCATCTGACTGTCACTGGTTTTTACATTGTGGCGTCATTTTAGAAATTGGTCTAAAATTCATCTACATCGCCGTGGATTTAACTATGATTTTCTACGACTTTAAGTGTAATTGAACAGCTCAGCGGAGCTTCAAACTACTTTTCAAACGTTTTTACGTTTCAAACTGCTTTTGGCAATGAAGCACCATGCAAGACGACTATTTATAGCTGGTTTGCAGAATTCAAACGCGGTCGTGTGAATCTTAGTGACGAATTTCGAGATGGTCGCCCGTCCACTGCTGTGAACAACAAAAACATCGATGCTGTGCGCCGAATGATCAAAACAGACAGGCATGTGACTTTTAGGCACAGGCATGAGTCAAATACAATCAATACTACACAAACATTTGGGTGTGAAAAAGCTGTGCTCTCGGTGGATCCCACACAATTTGACTGAGGCTTAAAAAACGGATCGCGTCACTTGGTGCAATGCCATGCTTACCAGATTCAACGAAGGAGCGTTAAATTTGGTGTGGGACATAGTAACAGGTGACAAAACACGGATTTATAGTTACAATCTCAAAACAAAGCAGCAATCGAGCGTATGGGTCTTTCTAGATGAGCCGAAACCAACCAAAGTGGCGCGCGTGCAAAGTGCCTTTAAGCGGATGATTGCTTCTTTTTTCAAAAAACGTGGCTACTGTTGCTTTGGAAAATCGTTGTACCATGAATAGCGATTGGTACACGACCATTTGTTTGCCGGAAGTTATTGAAATAACTCCGTAAAAATAACTGTAAATGCCGTATCATCTTGCACCACGATAATGTGAGTTCTCATAAGGTCAGACAGACAAATGAATTTTTGAAGGTGAATAACGTTGACCTTATGAGCTATCCCGTGTACAATCCCGACCTGGCATCTTGCGACTTTTATTTATTACCAAAAATTAAGAACTAGATACGCGGTCAACGATTTTCATCACCTGAAGAGTCTGTCGAAGTGTATGAAAAATATGTTTCAGAGATTGTCACGGAGGAGTGGCATAAATGTTTTAAAAATTGGTTCATTAGTATGAAAAAGTGTATTAACTCTGACGGAGAATATTTTGAGAAACAATAAATTAATTTCTGACCATTTATAGTATTTTTTCTTATTCATTCCGGAAACTTATAATGCGCCACACGTACTGATAATATTCTACTATTTCAAATTAAAATGGCTAAACAGTAGCGGTAAGATAGCAGAAATATTGAGAACGTATGTACGTAGTAGATTAGTTTATAATAAAAACAAAACTGATGATAAGTGGGACGAACATTTGATTTGTCGTTATTTCAATTTTACTAGCTACGGTCCGCGCGGAGAGCGGGCAGTTGCTATGTCTGTACTAAATAAATAATGACTTTATTTATCTACATTGACTTAACAGTTTAGTCTTAAATAACACCATCTGCATTTACATTGTATCACGTAGACAAAAAGGTTTACCTTTTTATGCATCAGCTTAAATCTTAATTCTCAGCTTAAGGGTTATATTATATGTGAATGTCTTATTTTATTGTAATAACACTTAGCTTTCGTAAGAGTTTTTCAATTTGTTACTAACACTTTTGTATGGACCACCTAAGTCTGAAATAAAATTATTTTATTTTTATTTATTTATATACTACCTCAAACAGTGAAAGTGTTGAATCTATCACTTTGAAAAAAATATATAGTAAAATTGAGGATATACCCTGATTACTATATGGTATCAAAACACGATTTCTAAAAATTTTCAGATCCGTGTACTTTAGAGGCATGCAAATTCGTACGTAAGTGTCCAGAATATTTCTCTAGGCGAAGAGATATTGCTACACGTTATACATTACGGCATGGACATAAATTGATAACACCCAGCAACCGACTTAAAATGAGCTCTTCTAGTCCTCTCCTAATGTCGATAAAAGTTTATAATAAATTACCAAGGTCGTTAGTAGATGAGAAAAGCGATATAATATTTATAAAAAAAGTAAAGAGACTGCTAATAGAAAATTTTTATTATGCTATTTGAGAATTTATTCGGGATAATGATTTAAAAGATTAATTTATTATTAAAAGTATGTCTTTCTCACCAGTTTACTGTGCCCTATCTAGGGTCTACAATGATCTGTTAAATATTAAACCTACCACCCTGTAAAGCATTGTAGAAAAAGCAATACAGTATTGATTGATCCCACTTTTAATTTATTCCTGCCTAAGACACCCGGTTTAATAAATTGGTTCAATTGGGACCTAGGTTTAGGACCAGCGCGTTCACAGAATAAACCATAGGACCACAGAGGTCATTGAACCCTCAAGACATCGTATTTTTTTTATGTATAAAATAAAAAAGTATCGCTTGTTTATAAGGCCACTAACCTGGTTTGATGCAGGACATGCCACATGCTCCGTCGCAGAGACACTTCTTCTTCTTGCTCTTACAGTCCTCGTCGGA